CTACTGAATCTTTTCACCCAGCCACCAGAAAATTTACTGCAGAGAAGGCAGTTTGGGGCTAGTCATTGTGGAATGGGAACTAGAGGCAAGGCAAAATGGAAGATGGGGGAATTGAAGGATCTGAGGAAAGAGATTATATTAACCCCACACCTCTTTCAGAGTAAGCAGGATAGCATCCTCCCTTCAGCCGTGACCTCTTTAAGTGTACCCAGCTTTTTACAGCTGCTATGAACCTGACAGTCTGAGAGAAACTACAAAGGGGGATAGAAGCAACATAAACCTGGGAGTTGATTGTAGTCCAGCCAGTTGCTGGCTTTCTGTGTGTACCAGTGGCGGCCTCCCCACACTTAGTAGCAGTTGGAGTTAACCCTGCGATGACAGTCTTTGTTGTGCTTTTCTTTTCTCAATTTGTGATCTGTGCACTATCTAGGAGGGTGTAAATCATGATGTGAGGTGGTGCCATGCTTCTTTCTCATCAGCACGTCACACGTTCTGGTGGCTAATGACCAATGAGCCCCTCTTGCATAGTTATTAGAGTGGCAGTAAGTAATATTGCCTTCCCATTTGAGCGAGCTGGCAGTTCTAGGCAATAGACCCCAAAGCAAAAAAACAAATTTCACCAACTGGATAAAACTCTGCCTGGCTGCTGTAGGCAAGCACCACCACACCCTGCTTTTCCAAGTGGGTTCTGGGGATCAAACTCATGTCCTCGAGTTTACACGGCAGGCACTTGGTGATTGTGCATCTTCCAGCTCTGCCATTGTTTCCTATTAGAACACATTGTGGGCTTTGGGAAGAAGAACCAAGGGAAAATGAGGAACTACAAGTGCCAAGCCCAAGAACATAAAATCTTACCTTGGCCATTTATCCATGAAAAAAACAAACAAACTATAACTACCAGGAAGAAGGAGAGAAAGGGTGGAGGTAGGCAGGAGACAGCAGCTAGGTTCCTTTCCCCTGCGAGTAAGTAGCAGCTCTGAAGGCTCTTCCCGAGAGACGTTTGAAATCCTTTGGTGAGAATACATTAGCAAATATGTTTACATATATAACCCCTCCTAGAAGAAAGGTGTGTGTGTGTGTGTGTGTGTGTGTGTGTGTGTGTGTGTCTGGATAAGGAATATGAAACAGTAGCAGAAGGCTGACTCCTTACTCCTAATGGGATTTTGTAACAGCATGTGCAAGTTTGTTTCAGAAGTCAAAAATGAACAGATGTTGGTATAAATTACCTCTGTGTCTGATGTCTTGCAAATTAAAAGCGCGGTTGGCATCACTAAACAATTTCACTAGGTTTGGGGGGGTGCAGTGTGCGGGCGGTGATTATAGTAGAAGGTTGGGTAAAAATCTTCACACTACAACAGATCAAGAGAGCAAGGATAAAGAAATGGGGAATAAAATAAGGGCTGTATGAATTAATCAGAAATGTTAGCATTCCTGATGACAAGTGAACAGGAGGGCACTTGCTCTGGAGCAGCCCCTGACCCATAGCAATTTCCCTGTGCACAAAAAGGGGTTGGTGCTTAGGATCTGATTTATAAGACACAGCCCTCTTTTAGGGAGCGGCTGTGTCATGCATTCGTATATCTCCTATATGGGACTGGCAAGAAGGGAAACTTTCTCCCCTCCCACGTAGAAGATGATGTCTTTTGAATTACTTCCACTTTTACGGTGGTTTCCTGCAACTCTGTGTACTTGGATTAGGTTGAAGGGTGAGGGATGATTGAGTGGAAAGGGAGTTGTTAAAGGATTGGTTAAATGCAAGGAAAATTTACCACTGAGAGACTTCAGAATCTCTGCTTATTTTCCTTTTAAACTCTTGAGCCCTCAAATATTTGAGTCTTTAAAAAATTCTAAGTCATAACATGTCCAGATCATTCTTTCACTTTGGGTTGGGACAACAGTAAGAGGCAAAAAAGTGGCTCAGTGGTTAAGAACATTTTCTGCTCTTCACTGGATCTGGGTTCGGTTCCCAGCACCCACATGGCAGCTTACAACCGTCTCTAACACCAGCTCCAGGAAATCTGACTCCCTCCTCTGTCTTCTTCAGATGCTAAACATGCAAACATACAGGCAAAACACTCACACATAAATAAAAAGAAATCCCTATTTTACATAAAAGTAAGGAATTGGGAGGTCTGAGATGAGTGTGTGTCAGGGTTCTGTGTTACTCATTTCTGGTTTCTACACTGGCCTGCAGCCACACTGCAGGCTGATTCTGTTTGGGTTTAAAGTTCTTATACTTTACCCTCAAGAATAGGCAGTTAACCCCTGTAGCCACTCTACCCCAAAGTGTAAGTAAATTTGTAAAGGTTGGGTTAAGATAGAGATTTCAGTCAGTGGAGTTTTTGAGTTATCTTTCCTTCTTTATCATCATTGATGTGTTCGTTCACTCAGAAAATGTGGGAGTAACAAAACTTGTCCATCTCTAAAAACAATTATGTTAATGATTCCATTGCATTGATAGTATCCAAGAGAAGGTAGAGAGATGGTCTCTGCTTACTCCTGCTGTACACAGGAAGAAGGTGAAGCTTACCTACCTGCTACATACTTGAGCTAGAAATGAGTTCAAATTCTTTGTTCTCTTTAATTTTTTGTTCCTATGTAGTCTCCCTGGCCTCTCACTCACTCTGTAGCTAAGTACAGCCTTGAAGTTCTGGCCCTCTTGTCTCTGGCTCCAGAGTCCTGGGATTTCAGACCTGCACCCCTATGCTCAGTTTATGTAGTACTAGGCAAACAGTCTACCACCTGAACTGTGTTCCCAGCCCCAAATCCCAAATTCTCTATAAGGCATCCTTGCTATCTCCCTTGACTAAATAGTTGACTAACCCCTGATCTCCATTAACTTGGCATTACTTCCTTCAAATGGCTCAGCCAATAAGAGTATTGGCTGGCAAGCCTACACTCTGAATTCAGTCCCTTAACCCCAGGATAGAAAGAGAGAACTAACCCCACAAGCTGTCCTCTGACTTCTACTTGGGTGCTGTGACGTGTGCACGCACACACTAAATAAATTTATTGTTTACTGGGGATGCTAGGTGCCTTTAATCAGCACTTGGGAGACAGAAGCAAGTGGGTCAGTGAGTTTGAGACCAGCCTGTTCTATTTAGTGAGTTCCAGGCCAGCCAGGGCTACACAGAGACTTTGTCTCAAAAACATTAAATAATTTTCTTGAAAAATAAAAAATAAAAACTTATCACACAGAGATAATAGTTCACTGAAAACCACTGTCTAGACTTAATTGACTTTAGAGGAAGCATTAGTGCTTGCTGTGTTCCTATTTATTCTTTTGTATATTGTTGTTTATGTAACCAGCATTTATTCAATACACCTGCCCTCAATTCTGACAATTTAGTAGAAGAAACAGGTAAACTTGTGTAAACCCACCAAGGAAGGTTCAGATTTGGGCTTGGGCAGGATTGGCAGCACCGAGACACCTCACCCTGAACTTGCATACCTAGCTGACAGAATTTTCTCCTTTTGTTGGAGCTCAGGAGCTAGTGAACACTGGGGAGGATAGACTGATGATCCAAAAGCCTCCCTGTGGTGACAGATTGTACATATAAGAACCTAGGGTGCGGGCAGGGGAACTGGGGGAGCTGTTTCTGCAGCACTGGTGAGTGGACCTAGAGCCTGCTACATTCCAGGCAGGAGGTATATCCACAGGCCTTATTTTATTTCTACTTTATTCTATGAGACTGGGTTTTATAAGTTATCCAGCCCCGGCCAAGATTCCAGGCCTTTACCACCAGGCCTGGCAAACAAGCAGCTGTTAAGTTTTGGTTGATGAAGTGAAGGATCTATCTCATCATTTGCTGTGTCCTAGATAAAGGCAACAAAAGATGGGGCAAACATCACTTTCTTTACTGCAGGCACCTCCCTAGCTACTTCCTTTCTTTAGCCAAGAGGGGCATGTTCTTGTGAGGCAGTGAGACACCGCCTGTCCTGGGTTCACTGCCTTGTTCTGGAAGACTTCTGGCTTCCCGGCCTAGCATCAGAAACTTTCAGAACTGTTAAATCCGTTTACGAGATCTAAAAAATGCTCTTTGGAATGAAGATGGGGCTGCAGCAGCCTGGGGTTACATTGAGTGCGTGTACACATGCTTATTGAAAATTTGCAATGGGGGCTTCTAGAGTGGTGCACTTTTAATTGGGAAATGTTGTACTTTTACTTTGGAGCCTTCTGTCCATACAGGAAAGTAGCTGACTAAAGCTAGCAGTAACTAGGTTTCGGAGATTGATGGTGCTGAAAGTCAGAGAAAGACACATAAACCTTGCCTGTCTATATTAAATACCGACGGACTGACAATGCCCAGAGAGAGAAGACCAAAGCTCTATAAACCCTGCTTTATTACACCATCCCCAGATGAACTGCACTGAGGGAATATAAACCCTGGTATATTACAGCACACAGGGCCTCCCAGTGCTCAGAGGTGGGGTGTGTGATCACTGGTTTTGATTTGAGTTTATAAATGTGAAGAGACCAACAGTCCAGACAAGATTCTAATCTTGGCTGGATTTTAGCCTCCCAGAACAAACTCCAGAAGATAGTGAAGATGCATGCATATTAGAGTTGCGAGACAGAGAAACAGAGAGACTTAGAGGGAGTTCCCTGATGATTTGTAAGGAGAGCTGATAATCTCCCCCACCCCATACCCCCCTTCATCTGTACTTCTACAGTTGCCCATTCAGATTTGCTGTCCAGTTTTAATTGTCAGTAGTTTTTTTTTTTTTCCTCTCTTAGAGCACTAGTGATGATTGAATTTGTTGGGGTAGCAGTTTGGTATACAATATATTTAACTGTATACCAGATGGTTTAATTACCAATATACTTTTTATATTAACATGTAAGTGCGGGTGCACAGGACAAGGGTGTGGGAATCAGACGATCACTTCGGGGAAGTTGGGTCTCTTGTTCCAATATTCATTTTTAACTCAAATCTTCCTGTGCTCCCTTTTTCCTCTTTTAGATTTTCATTGATATTTTGTTTACTTTGTGATTTCAGCCAGAGAGATGACAAGGGGAAAATTCCTGAACATCCTAGAGAAGCCTAAGAAGTAGCAACCGCTCGAGCACAGGTGTCCTGAAGACCATAACCAAGTTCCCTTCCCAGTGTAGCTCTGATGAAGCACACCACGTGCTTGGGAAAGACTGGAGGCTGAACTTCCTTATCCCCTGCTCCTGGCACTCTGCACCTCTGAGGATATTTGGTAGCCAGAGAAGAATCTGTTCTACCCAAGGATCATTGCTATTCACCGAGCCAGCTTCGTAGCCCTGGATATTATTAACATAGAGGCCCTGTCATTCTGGAAGACCCTTTCCAAAAGTGATGATGCAGGAGTCCTGGGACCTTAGAATGACCCTGATTCTGTAATGGCAGAGTCAATGTGACGTGGGTTACCAGGCTCTGTTGAGTTGTACTTGATCTCTTTAAGAAGCACTCACAATGAGGACATCAGAGACCAACTGCATTCTGGACCAGACCTGGGAACAGTCTCAGACCCGACAGAGTCTATGACTTCGTTCTGAAGGAAACTTCTGGAAATGTATGCCTGCTTTTTAAATCTATACCTCCAGGGACACTCTCGCCCTAGCAGTATCCATTCCCCTGCTCCCAGGCCCACCTTGCAGGTCTAACTCCAGACCAGTGGGGCTCTTGTAGTGACAGTCTCCTGGGATTTGCTTGTAGATAGAAAGGCTCATGCCGTGTCACCCTGAGTTCTAGACCTCCAGACTACAAAAGGAACTCCAGTTAGGCTGTAAACATTTTTAAGTGTGACCTGGTAGTGGAAGGACATGGTTGTGAGAGTCCCCATCTGACTGACAAGAAGCCCTCCCTGAGTTAGTGTGTGCAATCGGATGGTAACAATGCTCTGGCCCCTTTTCCTCCTCTCAGCTACGTATACCACAGATACTTTGCTTATATGATAAAAACACACTCTTATGAAAATGTTCTGGCTTAAATACAGCTCTCACAGACTTCTTTGCTAGTTGAATGTATCTGCCAAACTCTGAAAATCTTGCCCATGGGTAAGATGGATTAGACTAGTCTTTCACATTTTGAAAAGCACAGGAAGTTCCCTCAATATTATAGGAAGAAAAGCTCTGTGGCCGTCATCCGGTGGGAGTTTGGACACAGGAGAAGCTGTGGCCAAGTCCAGGGCCATGTATCTGTTAGGGCACAGTACTCTTGAGGTTCACAGCAAGCTCCTTGACCATTCTTGACATTTGTGCCTAATGCTAGAATTGCTGTTGGATTTTCCCCTTCATTAGTGCTATTTGATCAACACAGTTTTACTTTTTGAAAGGAAAAAGCAATGAAATATGTACCACAGAAGATAAGTATGAGAAGAAAAGCACTCTGCTGGAGTACTCCCTAGAAGGGAGTGGATTTTAAGCTTGAGTCTGTGATTGACATTTTTTATCTCACTAAATGCGGTTAAAGTGGGTGTATATGAGTGATCGGAAAATAATGCCTTATGTCAAATTTTTTTCTTCACTCTGTTTTTGAGAGTTGATGACATCAGGCACTTTTCAGAGTTTGGGGACATTGAAAAGTATGTGGAAAATACTGGGATAGCTCCCCCAAACCAGCTTGTCTGTAATGGGAAGCCGGTAGTTGGTGTTTTGATCTGCTATGGCCTCCTCCTTCTTACTGTCATCCTATTCACCAGCACTTAAATTAATGTAAGTAGATGTTTTAGAATTGTGATATTTATTGTTTTTGTATTTGTCATCCTTAGAAATGTTAATGATGTATTTTTATATTGATAATATAAATTTATGTACAGTATGTATATGTATTTTAGAATGTTAGAGGATTATACTTTGTGTATAATGTGTCTTCATAATAAATATGTCCCTTGTATAGGAGGTCGAGTTTTTCCCTTAAAGGGCTAAGCTGCGTATTTAAAGCCTAGACTCGTTAAAAGTACAACTCAAGTGACAAGTCCACTGTCCCATCAGCCATCCTGCCCATTACTGCTAAATTCCCTGTCCCAGTAAGAACCTTTAGAAACCTTTGGTACCACCTTGTGTATTGTCAAAGATCCATCTCTCTCCTCTAGACAGTGGAAAGTGGCATCCTATTGATCCTTCAGTTTGGATTCTTTCTTCTCCCACATAAAGTCTCTCATCCAGTAGGAATTGTTCTTACTCTGAGCAGGTCCTAGTGCCTTGCTGGCCTGTGCCATGGAGTCTCAGAAAACCTCCACTACATTTCCACACACCAGACCTGATTTTCCTGTAAGACCTTGGTGATCCCACTGGAAATGATGACCTTCACCGTCATCCCTTCAGTATTTAGATGTGCCATTCCTGTGATGCTGATCACACCTGATCAAAGGATCACACCTAAGTAATGAGTCCAGATCTTACTGTCCTTTAATGTCACAAGCTCCCCGAGATTATGTCTCCTTCCTACTAGTTCTTCCATGGAAAACGTCTTCATCTGTTTTAGTATGAGTTCTTTTGTTTGAGACCTAGAGAAGAGAAGTACTCATTTGGCCACTCTGTCGCCTGTTGGTTAGTGGATTTGTCTTCACCAGAGCATGTCCTTCTAGAGAAAGCATTCCTTTTTGTTGTTGTTTTTCAAGACAGGATTTCTTTGTGTAACAGCTCTGGCTGTCCTGGAACTCGATCTGCACACCAGGCTGGCCTCGAACTCACAGAGATCATCCTGCCTCTGCCTCCTGAGTGCTGGGATTAAAGGAATAAGCCACCACCGCCCATCGAGAAAGCATTCCATTTTAAGGAAAACAAATTTATACACAGCTCACATAAGATACTAATTTTGTTAGTTACAAAGCACCCTTGTTAATTTTTTTATCTTTTTATTTTAAACATTTTCCACAATTTAAACTTTTTCATGCACAAACATCTGTGGAGGTCAAAGGGCAACTTATGGAAGTCAGTTCTCTCCTTCTACCATGGAGGTCCAAGGACTTGAACTCAGAACATCAGGCTTGGCAGTTAAGTGCTTTTACCCACTGAGCCATCTCACCAGCTCATATAATCCATTTCTTTTTCTTTTACAAAAACAGAATTTCATCATGTAGTGCTAGCTGTCCTGGAGTTTAACATGTATGCCAGGCTGCCCTCTAACTCTCAGGGATCAGCTTGCCTCTGCCTGCCGAGTGCCGCCACACCTGGCCTGTGTTAATAATTTTAAGTAGGCTTTTGCTAACTGCTCCTTGGCGTTGGCCTTGTCATTGTAGCTCTTGTGGTTCACTCAAATCAGGACGGTGAAAATGCGGCTGGTGAAATGTCTCCACAATCTGAGAGCAGCATTTGGACTACCCACAAGTGCCTTGCAAGGAAGTCCCTCTCCCCCAGCATTAAGGCATTGCAGGAAAATGGCCTGCAGGTTGGAAAGGAGGCAGGTTGGCCAAGGTAGCTGGCTCCAGGGGTCAAATAAGTTGTTTCTTAGCTGCTTACATTTGCCCTATCTTTATCTGCAAGCATGAAGTCATGTTCTCCGTTTTATGTCTTCTACATCCTTTGAGAGATCCAAGACCACCCCATCCCAGCAGCCCATTGAGTGGGTGAGCAGAGATCTTTCCAAGTACAGTTGATAAGTTCTGACTAGCCTGTAACTGGCTGCTCGTATCTATTTAGAATCAATCTTTGCCACTTTGGAAGTGTGTCCCTGTGTCTGAAAAGGCCTTCAGCCTTCCCCACCTTTTGTCTGGCATTTTTTCTTTTAGACCAAGGACAGTTGGAGGCTTCAGGTGATACCAGGTGCAACTGTGAGGCCCCTGGTTGGCACCAGTGCTGTTAATTTGCACAAGAACACCCCAGTGCTCCATTAGCCAGGCCAAGCATTCGGAACTTCCCTCCTGGGGGCCTCTTCCTCCTAATGAGAGCAGGAGAAGGGCTCTTACAAAACATTGCCTCAGAATAATATTCTGCTTTGTCCCCACCAGTAACCAGGGCTGACAGGATCACTCTGTCCATTTCTCTTCTAATTAGCACAATTCCAGCATGGCCTGAGCCAGCAAATAGAGAAAAGCGATCAAAAGCGATCGGACAACCGTACCGAATCACAAACACAGAGAGAGCCATTCCCTGTGATTAGGTGAGACAACTCCTCAGTCCTTTCTCGGCTGGAGTTTGCTGCTAAGACTCTTGTTGTTTGGGTCCAAGCAGCACAAGTTACATGTCTCCCTGGGACACTAATAAGCCCCAAATTGTCTTCTGCTTCACACGACTCTAACCAGAGGACAGATGCAGGGAGGAGGAGGGATGGGGACAGTCTCTAAACAAAGCAACTTGTGAGAGCTTTCCCCAACTCCACAAGGTAAGCTGCACTGGGCACAGCCTGGGTTCCATCCCTTGAGCCAGAGTCCGAAGCACTTAGCACCCTGACCTTCCAGGAAGCCCACTGCTATCTGACCTTGCTCCTTTTCCCATGTGGCTGCTCTAGTCTGGCTGTGGTACCTCTCCTGGACCTTCACTGAGCTGCTTCTGGCCATGTCAGGGAGGATTTGCCCATGCCCTGCATGTACATTCTGCTCTCAGAGAGCCCGTGGCCTGCCAGGGGCACCGCTCCTCAGCCTGCTTTAAGAAACAGAAAAGGAACCTGTTTGCCAAGGCAGGCAGTCATGATGAGCTGCATTCTACGTGACTCGGGGCTTGGCTGATTGATGAAGAGAAATCCAGCCCCGTGATTGCAACCCATGTCAGAAGTATCTGCTGTGATACAGTGGTAAACTTGACTGTCGCCCAGGACAAAGGGTGTGCGGAGAGTTTCTATGGGAATCTGAAGCCTGAGTGGAATCGGTTCACAATTTTTCATCTTTTTCATTTTTCATTTTGATCTATACCTGATATTTTTGGAGGTGACCAATAACCAAAATACTCAATTAAATAGGATCAAAGGAGCCAAACAAAACTCTCAGAGTGTTTCTGTTTTCCCATCTTCCCTGTTCGAGAGACAGTGGCAACAATACCTGACTCTTCAATAGCTTTTGGGAGATGTCGAAGTAAGTCCAAATGTATTGTACCTCACACAGTCTCTCGGGTAAGCAGAATGTAAAACAGTACATGGCAAATAGCACTTGGGAATTCACTGAAGTCTGTGAGGAGGCCCAGCAGGTGAAGGTGCTTGCCATCAGGCCTAAAGAGCTAAGTCTGGACACTGGGGCCTACATGGTGGAAGGGCGAGCATTGCCTCCTGATAATTGTCTTTGTCAGTACATGGGCTCCACAGCATGGGCACATGAACTCTGTCTGTCTCTCTCAGTAAATGTAAAAATAAATAAAATTTGTTGCTGGGTGGTGGTGGCATACACCTTTAATCCCAACACTTGGGAGGCAGAGGCAAAAGGATCTCTGTGAGTTCAAGGCCAGAAAGTTTCAGGATAGCCAAGGCTACACAGAGAAACCCTGTCTATAATAATAATAATAATAATTTGTTTTAGCTGGACAGGATCACAAGTTCAAGGACAGTCTGAGCTGCATAGCAAGACCCCATCTCAAAAAAAAAAAAAAAAATTCCCTTAAATTCCTAGAGAGATAGGGATGGGCTACACAAGTCACTACTCTCTCCTGTCTCCTTAGACCCTTTCCCACTTCAAAGAAACAGCCTGATGACATAGTACAGATTGAAGACAGAGTGCCATGGCCCAACTCCTGCTCCAGCCAAATACTAGGAGTGTGACTTTGGATAGATGGTAGATTAACAGACCTCTGTACCTTGGTCTGCCCGTGACATGGGTCCAATAGTAGCCACTAACTCCTAGAGCAGTTGCAGCAATTAAGTGGGCCCTTTCGAGAAGTGAGAAGCGGTGCAGGCCATGCAGCCATTGTGGGACTACTTGACGGGGCTATTAAGATGGACTTGACATCTTTAATTTTTTTTTTACTCACATTTATTAAAATTATGGACACTTTCAGGCAAAATATGGTAACCCTGGAGTAATAAATGCAGAGTAGCATCTCTACCCTTCCCTCCAGCCTTCCACTTCCTGAAGTAACCTCTGACTAGCATGTGCACTTGGTAAATTCAGTTGTTGACTCTGCAGACAGTGGCACGGAAGATCATTCGAGGCTAAAAAGCACTTAGAGGGAAGTATGCTCCATGATCTTGAAAGGCGAGCTGCCGTTGGTCTTATGAGTGTCAAAGCCTTTGTCACACTGGTCTTCATCCTGAGTTTCTGAGCACTGACGTTATTCCAGTCACTACCCGGGAATGCAATCCCCTGCTTGATGCTGTCATGTCCTAGCCTTTGCTCCATACCCTCCCACATTCCTCCAAGGGCTTTCCTGGTATAAGGTTAGTCAGGTTCTCATTCCCTTCCCAGGACTAAGCAGGGCCCACTGGGGCCTCAGCCTCCCCACAGCTTCCTCAACCCTTAGGAGGCAGCCTGGCCTGAGTAGCCTGAGGTTTCAGGTCAAGTGAGGCTGAAGGTCACATCCTGGGGCCTTCCTGGATGCAGCCAAGCTCTAAGAGCCAAAGTGCCCCTGCCCTCAGCTCCACACAAAAGAGCAGCAAGGAAGAATCAAGTTAGAAAAGTCAGTGACTTAAGGCGGAGTGGAGAGAAGAGCTGGCTGCAATGACCAGGGAAACTTTGGTCAGAACCACAGGCATGTGTGCCTAGAACCAGAAGTAGTCCACAAATACAGGGCAGCTCAGAAGCAAACTCAAGAGCCCTTCATTCATACTGATCCCCCCCCCCCCCCCCCTCGAGAGAGAGAGAGAGAGAGAGAGAGAGAGTAAGTTTACATGACCATATATGCCTGTGCATAATCCAGAGAGCAATGTTGGGTGTCTCTCCATTGCTTCTTCATCTTATTTTCTGAAAGTTCTCACCCTAGAACTGACCAATTCAACTAGGTGGGCTGGCCAGCCAGCCTGAGGAATCCTTCTG